ATGAGAGTAAAAATTCTCTTTAGAGCTTTAAATAAAAACTGTATTTAATCAAAATATTTTAGCATTTTACTAATTATTACTTAGTAATTAAATAAATTTATAAGTATTAGAAAAAAGTTTTAGAGTATGAGAAATTATTTTTCGGAAAGAGTTGAATATACCTAGTATATTTTTTTGCCATCTAGAATACAGATTTTTCAGTATGAATTTATCTATATGAGTAGCTGTGAGTTATTCAATAAATTAAAAATACAAAAGGTTTTTAATAATGGTATTGTCATTTGTAGTAAGCTTTTTAAAAGTAAAGTAATTTCATTGTTTAGTTTTTTATTCAGCATTTCTTTACAGGACTTTTCATTTAGAGTTGTTATTAGTGTTGTGTGGAAATAGTTATGATGAAATTCTTTTTTTTTTTTTTTTTTTTTTTTTGGTTCAGCCCAGCCTAAAGTTAATAATTGTGTCATTTTTTAAATGTTCAGTTAGAGTAATTAAACTGCAGGAAATTTCAATGAATTGTTCTTTTTCTTTGTGAGATGTTTGAATTTAATAGTTAAAAATAGTTTAGAATGTCATAATAAGGAATTGAAATCATACAGGTAAACAATTACATTGATGAAATTTGACGAAATTTGACTTTTTTCCATTGGTATGAAATTTTCAAGAAAGCCATTACTTTTTAACATAATTTAACTTTCATGCACAAATATAACTTTGAAATTTTAAAGTATGGGGCATTAACTTTTAAAATTAAGCTGGTAGTACTGATGACAACTTAATGGCAGGAGAAAATTTTAATTTCTGATTTAATTTAACTTTCATGCACAAATATAACTTTGAAATTTTAAAGCATGGGGCATTAACTCTCAAAATTAAGCTGGTAGAACTGACGACAATTTAATGGCAGAAAAAAAATTTGATTTCTAAACAGTTTCATGCCAGTGCACCAGGCGGTAAAATTTTTAAATTAAGGAAGCGCAAAGTCGCAAAATTTAAGAATGGTAAGGTTTTTAGTGTGTAGGAGAGACACTGAACAACAGGTAAAATGTTTAGAATTTAATGAGACAGTGAGTGGCAAAATTTAGGACCTACAAAGATTGGACTGGACGACAAAATCCTTAGCTTTCAGAGTGGCACAGTAACATTCGGCCATGTTGCAGTTATTTGATTGCGACAACAAATCACATCTCGCACCTTCAAGCGACACCACTTTTCTAAATGCCTTGTCATTTCGGTCTCTCTGTTGCGTCTGCATATTTACTGTACCTAACTGCACCACCACGGAGGTCGACGTAGAAAATTCTGCGAAGCTACTGCCCAAGATCTACCTAGGCAGCCTTGCCCATGGAGGTATAAAAATCATGAACCTAGTGGGGTCTGGGGGTAGCGCCCTGGGTTTTCTGGGTAATGACCTCGGCCGACTGGCAGGTAGCAAATCATTGGCAATGACTGGCAGGTAGCAAATGCGAGTGTGGTGGTTGAAACCTTGTGCCTGGTTTGGTGGGGTGAGGGGGAACTCGGTCTAGCTTTGAATATTTCATTTGGTACCTTTTTGGTTGGTGGAAGATTAGACGAAAGAGAAAATAGTGTACTTTGAGCCAAAATGTTTTCCTCCCACATGGAAGGGAAAATGAAGCAGGTTGCAAGTACGTATACACTTCCCATTTAGCCAAGACCTCGCAATTTTGTCGTTCTTATTAGGACGTTAAGTTTCTCTCAAGTGTGATATCTGCATAGGCGTTTTTTCACTTTTCTCGTTATGTAACGTGGATAAAAGGCAGTTTCCCTTGAAAGGTCCTCCACCAAGGCATCCACCCTTTAAGCATGTAATGCATTGCCACAAGCAATTAAACAAAGAAAGTGAAAATCCGAGGTATTGGCAAGTTTCGGTCATAATTTGTGGCGGTGTGGTCAGAAATTTTATAATCCATCAAAATTTGCTCCAGCAGAATTTGAGGGCTGCATGCGGCTCTCCACCTCCTTAAATGCAGTTCGCTTCATCATAAGCAGTCATTTTATTAATGAAACATAAAATTAAACGAAAATGTCCTTGCATAATGACTCTTGTTTGTATGGATCACTAAATAATACTTTTAATAATAATTTCAGAATATGTAGAGAGTGTTAATTTGTTGAAGTAATAATTTAAAGACCAAAGAATTTTATGTGCAACAGGTGCAGTTGCACCAGGTGGCACAATTTTTTTAATTTAGGGGTTACTGGGCGGCAGTGTCTAGGAATCGAAACGATTGAACCAGGCTGCGAAAAACCGAGCGCTGGCGCTGCTGTATGGTAAAAGCAACCAGAGTTGAACGAGTAGTATTTCACGGTTAATTACTTAGCTTTAGTATACGTAACAAAAAAGATAATTTGAATCCCGCGAACGGGCTGGCAGCATGGACGTTTTCGTGATTTTCTCCATGTGTAACGTGTATACGAGCCAGTTTCCCTTAGAAAGACCTCCACGAAGGCATCCCGTCCCTTAGGCCCTAGTGTGCTTTGCCATAATTAAATACACCAACACCAAATATACCTCAGGATACTTGTTTTGAATAATTTTGCCTTTTAGGCTTCATTATATGGGCACTGCTCTGTTATCGGGACCGGAAATGTATGAATGTATGTATGTGCATATGTATGTGTGTGTGTGTATATATATATTAGGGTAAAGTAGACTTTAAGGTACCCCTTGTATTATGGCGAAGTTGTTGTTTGATTTATCGCCAAGTTGTTGTTTCATTTATGGTAACCTGAGTAGTTGAGTGTTATGGAAACCCTATTATGACATAATCGGGTGCATGATTCTGGGAAATTTTGAATCATGGGATGCTTTGTAAGCAATTTTGTGGTGTGTGTTGGTTTGATTCTTTAGACGGTAGAATGGCCGAATGTAGTAAGATTAATTTGAAGTTTCTGTACGATTTGGGGTGAAAGGGGAAAAGAGCTTTAACTGACTGGTGTGTAAATGAAAGTTTACTTAGTAGCCATTATAAGTGTCCTGTATGTAGGAAGGATATGCGTCTGGTCGAACGTAAAAACCGTTTAGATGGATTTGAATGGGTTTGTAGGAAGAAAGGTTCAGATGGTCACTATGTGAAGCGTTCGATCAGAAAGAGTACCTGGTTTGAAAAAAGTCATTTGAGTATGATTGATATTTTGATTTTTATGTGGCTCTGGGTATATGAAGCGAACTCGAAAATCATGGTAAGTGAATATTTGTTTTGGTTAACATGTTTTTCCTTTTCTATGTTATTTTATTGTTTGGTTTAAAATGTATTTTATTGAGATTATGTATTTTTTGTTTGCCTATAGTGTAGAATTTGGTGCTCTTTTGACGTTTTAAGTGAAAATATATCGATGTGTACATGGATAAAGTAAAGGGAGTGCGAAATGCAAGTTTGTGGAATTCTGGGATTTTTTCTTAAGTGAAAATAGATTGACGTGTACATGGATAAAGTTAAAAGAGTGCGCAGTGCCATTTTTGTGCAATTTGGGGATTTTTTTTTTTAAGTGAAAATAGGTCGATGTGTACATGGATAAAGCCAAAGGAGTGCACAATGCCATTTTTGTGCAATTCAGGGATTTTTTTTTTTAAGTGAAAATAAGTCGATGTGTACATGGATACCAAGTTTGTGCAATTGTTTGTCTTGTTATTTTGGCTTTGTGTAGCGGCGATTTTTGGGTGAAAAATCGCTGCTTCGCAAGCCAAAATAACAAGTCAAAGAATTGTACAAAATCGGTATCCATGTACCGCCACAAATCGCCAAGGGGTATCCTAAACTATACTTTTACCTATATATTATGTACATATTTGGACTAATCAGAATAGTGTATATTTACATTAAATTTGAATGACAACTACCCATTTAAGTATGTGAAGTGTATTCTGAAATTGCTATTAAGAACCAGTTGAATTGCTTTGATATTTTTTTTAATTTTGCAGTTTAAATCATTAAAACAACAAAATGAAATAAATTTGGGTTATATTTAAATATGAAGAAATTTTAAATTTAAATCCTCGTCAGTTTTTTTTTTGGGGGGGAGGGGAGGCTTGAAAATTGTCTTTGAGCGAGAGAAAGGAGATCAGAATATTTATAAAAATTTCTTCTTTATTTTACTTTTATTTATTTACTTTTTCTATTTGCTCAGTGATTAATATGGCAGTATTTAGAAATAATTTTCTTAACTTGGCTTTTACTAATGACTTGGCTTTGACTAATTTTTTTTTATGCAGTATTGAACTAAAACCAACAAAATCAAGAAAGTGTTTACCTGAAGAAATTAAAAATAAATAATTAAGAAACTTTAAAATTATCACTATGAAAATATGTATAAATAAGGTGTATAAAATTTAGCTTAGTGTAAAATTGTTTAGTCTGTTATTTAGTGTACATTTTTAAAAATAATATAGCCAAAAAATCTAGTCAATCAGTTTGGTTTGGAAAGGATTAAAAATTACCAGAAGAAATATTCTAAAAAGTTATAATAATTTTTTTTTATAAAATGTTTTGAAATTCCTTTTATTTGTGATACAAGAAATTTAGCAATATTTAGTGCATTTAGCAATAAAGAGATGCATTACTTTTTATTATTTACTGCAATTTGGGTATGGTCCCTTAAAGCGCATATTAGTGTATTTCCAAAATGATATATGTATGTAAATAATGAAGAGCAGCAGATAACTGTAACTACTAGTAAATGACATCGCGCATAAACATGCGAATTATCGCTGGCGTTAAGAATGGGAGAACAGTATCCTTTTCATAATGAAGCATGAAGAATAAACCTATTTTGGAACTTTGTCGAAGAATCGCCGATAGAAACGAAAACAACCGCTTACTTTGCGGCGAAAACTAGTTCATCACCGGTATAATCCGACTCATAAAAGAGAAGCGTATTTGTAAAGCAACCCCCGCCAAGTGTTTGCTCAACTCAGCTGACAGTAAATAGCGATCAGGAGCCAAGCTTGGCGGACTGCTAACTTGTCTAGCGGCTGCTAGATCTGTTAACATAGTCGTCAGTCAGTCCCTAATAGCTCATGGCGATCGGTTGCCTTCAAAGTGGCAGAGATGATATGGACAATTCCTTGTGCCTTTGCTTCTCAGATCCATGCTCCTGCACTATGGAAAAATATGAGTAAGTTATGCGATTTTATTGCATTTTATTGCTACCATTTTATAGGGAAAAAAAAAATTGTTCGTAACTTAACCGAGTATTCGGACTGGAGATTGTGTATATCCGATACCCGTACTGCCATCTAGTGCCGGAATAGAGAAACATTGACGTTATCGATTTTGGTTGTCACTTTGCCCCTTTTGTTTGTAAAGGTACTGAGAATAGTTTTTTTTTTTTTTTTTTTTTGTATGTCTGTATATGCTTTCTGCTGCTGTATTTATTTTTCTTTGTATCTTTTCTTGAGTTGGGAATTTTAGCGCGGCTTAGCTGTGCTAAATATGCGTATGACCCAAATGCTTTTTAGTGTGATTATGACTGTTCATGAAGAAGGTAGAATGACTTTCTAATGAAATAGATCCAGTTTTGAAAAGTTTAATTAAAATCTTAAATAAATTGTCTTTAAAATTTATGTCTGTATTCTGTTTTAAATCAATCCAAATCTTTCTTTCCATCTTAAATAATCTTTTTTTTTTTTTTTTTTTTTTTTCCAATATCTAATTCTCAAGATTGAAACATTTTGATTTCTCAATTATGTATGTATGCATGCCTTTGTTAATAAAATACGATCATTTTGCATAATTTGAAAACTCCGTGGAAACAAGTAATTCCTAATTAAGACACAATAACACGCCGAATAAATACTAATTCAGAAGTCAAACAACAAAAATAAAACAAAAAACAACAAAAACAGCGTTAATTTACAAAATTTTCACAGGACTAGTTTCGATGGTTTTACCGAACCATCATCTTCAGCTGCAAAACCGCAAATGACCGCAATTTTGTAAATTAACGCTGATTTTTGTTGTTTGACTTCTGAATTAGTAATTAATTCCTATTTTGCAGTTTGTGAGTTTTATTCGCAGCTTTTAATTGATGAATATTTTTATATAAAAAGTAACCAATATTTTGAAAAAAAAAATATCTTAGCTATTTTAGAAACCAAATTTTTTAGAATTGTTACTTTGGCAAATTCCAGTACTTTGAGATCTAAATTGTTAAATAGCGGTTAAATTATTACTAACGAAATTACTGATTGTTCTTAAACGAATCATGTTATTAAAACTAAGCGCAGTTGGTAAATAACAGTGAACATCATCATTTTGTTATTTAAATATAGAAGGATTGCATATCAGGTACATTCAGTTTTAATATAAAAATTATTGTCAATAGCCATTTATCAAATTTGCTTAATTTTTTAGATGAAATTGTTGAGAAGTGTAGTTTTTAGGTTTACAGAAATTGGTAGTTTTTGGTAATATTATTAGCTGTTTCCCACGGATGTTTTAAGATACATAAGCCTTTTAAATTTTGGAAAAAATTTGTGCATCAATAAAAATTAAAGCAGTAGCCTTTCTTCTATCAAAATAGCTCATATTTCGTGCTGAATCTGTTTTCTACGATTGAGCGCGAAAGAAAAAAAAGTAACTGTGTGCAGTGTTCTGATACACGCTCTAATTACCGAAACTGAAAAGAAAGGAATTCAGCGTCCAACTTATGATTCACAGGCCACAGGAAAATACTCGATCGTTGACCTGTCTTTTTCTTAACTTTATTCCACTTTTTTTTTTTCTTTCCCCTGCCCTTTTCCTTTTTTTACACGGTTTATGTGTTCGCATGTGAAATGGCAGCAAAGTTTTTAATTTAACAGGATAAGCACAATAAATTTAGTATTGTTTTGGGTTTAAAATGTGGTGAGGGAAATCGTCAGTAATCACTCCTGAAATTCTTTTCTCTTCTTAAAAGTTATTTAGCGTTGTTTTTATTAACTTGTTTCGACTTTGTTGGGGGGGAGAAGAGGGGGTTCTTTAACCGGAAGTATTTATTACTTTAGTAATATATATTGGTTTTTCAAAATGTAAATGAATGTCCATATAATAACAGTAGTGGCAATAGCGAGCCATGCGCGGTTCTCGCAGGCGAGTTGGGCGACTTTTATGCAAATAAAATATATGTATTAAATATGGCAAGCTAAAACTACACAGTGTCCAAGAGAAAGTAAGGCAAATTGTCAGTGTATAATTACTAAGAATCAGACGTTTCTTTTCATTTGAAGTTTTTTTTAGCTAATTTTAAAGTGAGGCCTTTGTGGCTTTTGGTGGTTCTGGAACGTTCCTGAATTCTAACATGCGGCTGTTACTAGCATGAAGTTTGGTCACCCCCCTGGTATATAAGTTAAATTTTCACAGCAATGTCATAATATCTCACTTTATACGTAAGTGACGCTAAACAATTTCTAAATGCCGTTTGTCTGTTTGAAATGCAACAGTTCTGTGTTGAATAGCGATTGTAAGTTCAACCTCGTATTCAGGTTCGATGGGTTCCTGAATATCAAAAAGAATGTTCCATATGGTCGTTCTTTCTTAAACAAACTACGAATTAAAAAGTTTACTGTATCGTATACATTAACGTTTTCGTTAGAAATATTTAAAAACGGACGTTAAATTTTCTTTCATCATAAAAAATATCAAATAGTGGCCGAATTTATTTTTCAAACCGTTTAGTATGTGTGTATGCCTTTTCAACCGAAGTAATTTTTGCGTATCTTTTAAATACCGGTAAATAAATTAGCCCCCCCCCCCATTTATACGGAAGATTTCTTTATTGAAAATATCATTCAATTTGAGATGTGAACATTTTTTTACATATCCTTTCCTAAATTGGTAATTATTAAAATTAGTTTATTTTATGCTCTGAGTGGAACAAAAAATCCGGAAATCGAAGAAATGTAATTTGGGCTAAAAATAAGTTTTTTAAAATAATGCAAGTGATAAAGGATTTTGTTGACCATTAATTAACTTTATACTTCCACAGTTTTGACAAAAAATTCATTATTTTACCTTCGTTTATAATTAATTAGCCTTTTCACTCTCTGATAACAGCATATTTAATGAAGAAATCAGTAAACTAGTTTCACAACTCAATCATATAACTGATAGCAATATAAGTAGAATACGATAATAATATAATGTGATAATAATAGAAATAAACTTGATAATACTATAAATGTTGGAACTCGCAACATTACCCCATCTAATGTGTGAGCCGAGAGTATAAACAGAATCTTGTAATTTTAATTATATTTTACCTACGTTTCAGTGGCAACACATCGAATTTTTTTCCCCATTAGTTTACAGAATTTTAGAATGATGTTTTGTTTTTGGTTAGAAGAATGTGTGTTATCCAGAGCAAGAGAGTTTCATTTTTACAGTAATTTTTTAGATCCACCATAGAGAAAGTACACTAGAAAAATATATTAGAGACCTCTTTATTGAATATATGATGATTTTATGGAAGTTTTTAGAAATTTTATATATTCATCTGAGGAGATGTAAATGATCGTAAATAGTCTTCAAGTAAACGTTTGTGAATTTCGTGAATGAATTGTTTCTTCTGATTTGATGTCTTTAATAAACATAACGGTTTTGTTTTTGTTTTTGCTAGAAAAAAACAAAAACAAAACCGTTATGTTTATTAAAGACATCAAATCAGAAGAAACCATTCACGAAATTCACAAACATAAAGGTAATAATAAATGCTCAAATAAGTAATTCTGTGTTCTTTCAGCTTCATTTTCATTTTGTGTTCTCTAATTCCGTAACAAAATGGCGTAGGCTACGCCATTTTTAGGTAATAGTATTCAGTCATGTAAATGTGTATTTACGTATCTGATTCATTTAGTTTCTGTACTTCGCATAGTATTAGTATTCGAAACTAAATTTTATCGAGTGCAGTTAAACTAACAAATTTATAATAATCGTAGAAGAATGTAAGTTGATGGTCGTCATAAATATGCTTGATGATTCAATATAGTATAAACAATTTATTTTATTGTTATCAGTTTTTAATTTTATTGGTTTATGTTTATCTAATGCGATTTCTCCATTTAAAATGTTACCTTTTACTAAAATCTACTTACGCGTATTGACCCTAATTTGGAACAGTGAAGCTAATTCTCGCATACTTTTATGCATATTATAAGGTGAAAAATAAGATGGAATTAAGAAGGGGGGAATGCAAAATAAATAAATAAGAGAAAACGATCGGTTGAAGGAAAAAAAAATGAACTCGCGAGCCACGACGAAAACTGGTTTTTAAGCTGGGAATGCGATTGAAAAAGCAAAGCGAAAGAAGTCGTGTGATGTAATGTTGGGGTGGTTTAAAACAAGCGCCCTGGCTTCATGCCAGATTCAGTGACCTGGTCTTTGGAGGAGGTGGAGGGGATGGAACAGTGAATCAGGCGGTGTATGAATGTAGTTGAAAAGGGACAAGAAGGGAGGGGACGACTGACAATTGAGCTGCAGCTTCCATAGGACAAGAATTGAATTATTATTGATATATTTTTATTTCGACCTATGCCGTTCAATAAATAGTGCACTAATGTAGGAAATTTTATTAAAAGTGTTTCGATTAAAAGTACTGTTGATCAATATCTAAATGGTAATTTAATTCATAATCGAAATACAGCAGCAGTCTTATTATCCGTTGTAACATAAAATATTCTTAGGATTGGTTGTACCTTAAAATATCTATTTTTTATTGGCTGTTAACAGTTAAATGAAATATGAATCTGTAACATGTGTATTAAATCTAAATAAATATATTAAATATAAATGAATAAATAAACAAAAATAAGCGCGAAGTTTAAAAAAAATGGCGCCTTTTTTTTAAAAATTTTTCTTGTGGGTATGAGCGTGAAATTTGTAAATATTGTGATCTTAATTTTAAAGTTTACGAGGTTTAAGAAAAATTACACCCCCTCCCCCCAAAAAAAAACAATTTTAAGGTAACTTTTATTATCATTTGTATTTCCGCGCAAAACTTTTATCAGAGATCGCATGACTACCCAAAATCTATATGAATTTCAGTAAAGCTTGTGCAAAAACATGAATTTGAATATGAATTCTTCCCTTCTTATCTGTTAGAAGAATGTACTTAATGCGAAACAAGTAGCCAAGATAAGT